TTACTGGTGGCCCGGAGGCCTTTCCAGTTTCACCAGGACAGGTGGGACGATGTTATTCCTTCACCGTGGAAGTCAATCGCGAACGTTTGTTAAGTACGTATTTCATTAGAAAAATTGGTACCCGCTTGCGAGATTCGAACACCGTTGCATCGTTCAACACGTATGCACCGGACGTCTTATTCTTTAGGCCACGACGACTTTTTTTCTTCCCTTTCATGGAATTTTTTTCTAGAATCTTCATCAGAATATATTCACGCGAATATGAGAAGAGCGCCGAGAAACGACAGCATAAAGCGCACAGAGCATTTCGGTCACGCCTGAATCGGAAGCACGAAGTGACAGGCGGAAGCGAGAGCGTTTTATTCGAATTTAACCTAACAGGAATTATGATTACATTGTTCATGTTTGTAATTATTTATTTATTTATAAATATACTAGCTCTACCCGTCCGCTTCGCTGGGCATTTAAAATTAACATTATTATTTCTCACCCCCGCAAAGATTCTCATCATTAACGCCCCCGCAACTGGTATGGTGAGTCGAACACTAATATAAATATTAGCCTATCCATTAAGTACATGTATTTTTTACACGGATACCAAGTTTCAAGTCAATCAGATGCATGGTTCAGTAGTTATAACGGAACATCCGTAAAAACCACTGTAGATTTATATATTAGTATAGATATAGATATGGGCGTGTATATATCGATAAGTACACCGAGTGTGATTTGTTTCTAAATTATTACTGTTCATCTGATGATTATCTAGAAGAGATCGCTCTTAGCTATAAGTCTATGGGCTCCGATAACCACTTTACACCAGGTGAGCCGCGAGCTTTTCAACTCATTTAACCAATATATACTTATATATTATTATGATTTCCACACGGTGTCCTCACCATTACTTCTCATAGTAGGTAGCACAGAAAATATTTGTTGGTTCACATCTGCTACGATTTTTATTTGAAGGTTTTGCCCGTGACTAACGTGATAAGCTGAAGCGATTTAAAAAAAGTATTTGGCTAATCCTGAAAACAAACAGAAATCTTATTGACATTTTTGCTGGTTTTAAGACTTGTCTGTACTCCGAGTGGACCGAGCGGATCGCTTCGACTCGAATGCCACGTCCATACCCAGCCTCCGGAGCTTGCCGGGACGGGCAGATCCACATAATTCCTTCCCCCAGGGAATGACCACAATGTTGTTCGTGTAGCAAACTACACTCAGGCCAGGGAGAGAAGCGCGAAGGACGTCCAGCAGGAATCAGTCGTAGCCAATGTTCCACAGAAGAGGACAAAGGGTCGGTCCCTTGTGCAACACTTGACTCTACGGGGTACTGGAGCGTCGTCCCCTGTGCACACAACCAACCTGTCCTCAAGGTAAGACCAGATCAGCCAACGGAGATACGCGGGGACGCCGTGATACGCCAACGTCCTGCGATCACCGACCAGGGCAGAATGTTGAACGCGTTGATGATGTCCAGGGACACCACCAGCGCATCCTGGTCGAGCATCTCCAGAATCGTCTTCATGCTCTGCGGCTTGGCTTCGCCGAACTATCAGTCAAAAAATACTTAGCAATAGCTTTAACCTCATCTGACTAATGACGAAGACGACTTAGATGAAGAAAAGAATAATATGAGAAAAAGACAATTAGTTCAGATTTTTCATTTTCAAAATAAATATTATTTTTAGAAATGAAAACATCGAAGCGATTCTATTCTCAGATCTTTTGTTCGCTTCGTTTACGGCTTAAGTCATAAGATAAATGAATATTTAATATTTTTTTATTTATTACTTAGATGGGTGGACGAGCTCACAGCCCACCTGGTGTTAAGTGGTTACTGGAGCCCATAGACATCTACAACGTAAATGCGTCACCCACCTTAAGATATAAGTTCTAAGGTCTCAAGTATAGTTACAACGGCTGCCCCATCCTTCAAACCAAAACGCATTACTGCTTCACGGCCGAAATAGGCAGGGTGGTGGTACCCACACGCGTGGACTCACAAGAGGTCCTACCACTAGTTGTGCTGAGAACTGTGTTCTACAACTCACGTCTCGCGATTAAAGCTACTTTCATGGATCACGAACGACTCGTCTGTGACCAAGAAAACTGTAATGTGTTCGAAACTTCGGATATAAACTATATCTATACTAATATATAAATATACATTAGTTCTTACGGATGCTCCGTTATGAACCGTGCATCCGATTGACTTGAAACTTGCTATCCGTGTAGAAAATACATGTACTTAATGGATAGGTTAATATTTATATGAGTGTTGAACTCCTTAACAATAATGACAATAAATAATAATGTTAATTTTAAATGCCCAGCGAAGCGGGCAAATACAGCTAGTATTCATATTTATATAAAAAGAATCGATAAAAAGAATCGATTCAAAAACGATGTAAAGAAATATTTTTTAACGAAATGTTATTATGATATTGGTGAATTTTTATATGATAATAATATGTAATTGATTAGATCTATTATTTTATGATTTTAATGGATTATAAGAATGTAATTTGGATTATCGTAAATCGAATCGCGAATCGAAGATTATCGTGAAGAAATATTATAATCTATGGAATGAACATAGCTACTATTAAGATAGTCGAACCTAATGCGCGAGAACTTTAAATGTAATGAAGGACCAAGAGAGCTTAATTTACATATTATGCATAATACCCGCTTTAACTTGTAATTTAAGACACGCTCCATTATTGAAGGAGAAAACCGAATAAGGCTTAGAAATGTTCGAACTCGCGGTCCTATCATTATTGTCGTAATGATTTATTTATCGCACTTCGATAAGGATGTTCGATGTTCCAATAATAATCGACTGAGTGAATCAATTTCTTACTGGTGATAGGACCTCTTGTGAGATCGAGCAATTAGGTACCACCACCCTGCCTATTTCATGACATAGACATGAGTTCTAAGGGCTCAGGTTTCGCAACGCTGCTCAACCCTTCAAACCGAAACGCATTACTGCTTCACGCTAGAAATAGGCAGGGTGGTGGTAATTGAAATTTTAATCCATACCCCCCAATTCAGTTATTAAAATGGCATTTCGATTTTTTTTTTATTGCAATGAGCTTACATCTCACCTGGTGTTAAATGGTTACTGGAGACCATAGACACAACGTAAATGCGCCACCCACCTTGAGATATAAGTTCGAAGGTCTCAAGTATAGTAAAAACGGCTGGGCCTTCAAACCGAAACGCATTACTGCTTCTCGGCAGAAATAGGCGGAGTGGTGGTACAACCTTGACGATGTAGAAAGCAGAAAAGAACATGAGAAAAACGAAATAAATTATTTTAAAAACACTTAAAGAATTCGATAGAATCCACCTCACTACAAGTGGGAATAACTGTTCGATCACTCGCCCCGTCGGCGCGTGGAATATTACCGTAATATTACCGTGATATTGTTGCGTCACGGTAATTAATTTCGCCGGTAATATATTACGTAAGCCCTTCAAGTGGAAGTGAATATGTATTTGATGTTAGCTCAACGTTTGTTCAGTTGGGAATTCATACGCATCTACATGTATTATAATAATATGTTTATAATATAGCGGTATATCTATATATTAATACGTGAAGGAAAAACTTTGTATCCCTTTTTACGAAAATTGCGCGGACGGAGGAGTATAAAATTTTCCACACTTATAGAGAATATAGAGAAGAAGTGCACAATGCTAATATTTTTTAAAATAATGCATAAAAGATACATTAAATGAATAAAGAAAACATTACACACACTACATACCATGTATTTGACGCACACACGCATGCATACTATTTATTGTCAAACTTTTGTTCTTGACGTCTGTTGTCAAATTGAGAATAGATTAAATATTGTTTGTCTTTGTTAGTATTTTTTATAGTGTAGTCTTGGCGAAATTTGTGATTATAGAAGTATAAAATACAATCATAATAGTGTACAAACTTACAATTCCAATTAATTATAGTCGAATTTCGACTACTGCGGGACCTCTAGTATTATTATTGATTTGCATGCGAATCTAGTTTGTATACATTGCGTTTCGTGTTCGAAGGCATATTTTTTTTTTCCTACCTAAGCTGATGGTCTAGAGAGAGCATGTCAGCGTCACCGGGCTAGTAGGTGAGCTCACGGGGCTCAAAACTGACGTTGTTGCTAACACGAACCCTAGGAAGAGCAGTGCTTCGCAGAATCTACCATCGGATCGGAAACGCGACCCACTGAAAAGATCCAGCGAGAAACTCAGTAGACTGTGTCTGTGGGTTAATTTACTCGCCGAGCCCTTCGTCGCAAGTGACGGGTTCGACGAGAACGATGACCGGTGCTTGGGGTACCTAATAGCACCATTAGTCGATCGGGAGGATCCGTGATGACGCCTCGAAAGCTTATGAAGACGGTTTCTTTTAACTTATTCTTGCTTGCTTTTATAAATGTTGGTTTTTTCCTCTTCCTCCTTGCGTGGTAGATCCTCAATTCTGGACATCGTGACCTCCGTGGGATTTTAAGATCTTCCGACGAACGGTGGAACGGAACTTAGCGTGGTTTTTAAGGATTTTTTTTGTTTGTTTGTTAAGAAGCGAATATTAAATACTGTTCAATGGTAACTCAAAACAAATGACCGCCTCACAGAAATACGCAAAAGCCGCAAATCATAATACGTACCTACCAAATTTTCTAAATAGTAGTGAGAGTGTGTAGTTCTGACATGTGCTATTGCGATTCGAATTTAAATCACTAAAAATTTTAAATTGATTGTTTTATTATCACGAGATCTTAATCTTTAGATTTTTGGATTTTATTTTGTGTTTGAGAAAAACCCTTCGAAACAACGGATTCTGTTAAAATCATAAAAATATATTATGTCAGTATACAATTTTACCTTAGCGTCATCTTTTTGTTTTTGTCGAACTATTCTAATTATAGTTCCAAAAACTGTCAATAGGTGTCGCTTGACGAAATAAAAATCTGTATGCTACAACTTACCCCAATGTCTTAGTGCTGATCAGGGGTGTCTTTAAGCTTAAAAATCCATTAAGCTTGGAAAGACTTTTCTCTCTACCTCCATCACTTGATGACTGGTCCGCCCTGTAAAAAAAAGAAGAAAAGAAATAACTTTCGATGTAGAGTATTCTTTTAAAATAGCGCCATCTCTGATGCAATTTGAGAATTTGTCATTTTCGGAAACACACTAAACTATGTTAGTTGATTACGTACTTCACAGGTGGCGCTGTCATACGTTTTTTAATGTGAGCATTTTCAACAGCTTAGTTTCATAATGTTCGCCTGGCGAATATGCCAACACTAGCTCTAACAAGAGCAGTGCTTCGCTGAATCTACCACCGGCTCAGAATCGACTGAGAAGATCCGGCGAGTAATTCACTGGTTTGGGTCTGTGAGTTAATTTACTCGCCGAGTCCTTCGTCGCATTCGACGGGTTCAACGTGAATTGTGCTTGAGTTACCTAAAAGCACCGATAGTCAATAGGAAGGATCCGAAGTGACGTGTTTTGAGGGAAGGCGACTGCTTACAGTTCGGTCCTTAGGATCGGGTATGTAGTTACCGGCGGCCACGACAAGGGAACTATCATGTCACGCCGTGTTCTCCAAATTATTTCCGGCATAATATTATACAATAAATAAAATATACTTTTTTTGAAGTGATAACTTTTTATGGGAGGATAAACCGCTTCGTTACGTAACGCGTTACAGCGCCAGTCTGTCTGTCGTCCCTTTCTCTCCCGCATACGGCAGCGGTACTGTTATCGTATGTGACTGCTAACTATTTATATCTCTTTTTCAATTTATGTTACAATTTTCCTTACTTTATCTAACATACATAAAATTTAAGTAATAACCCAAGCTTTTCTCAAGTTAAACAATTTCATATTAAATAGTTCAACTTAGATTAGTTTAAATTGTCATTTCTGTCGGGCGTTCCGAGATGCATATTTTTTTTAAAAAAGATGTTCATACATCTATCGATGGTCACAGCCAAGTGTAGAACAGTTTCTCAATTTTGTTACGCCGGTAAGAGTAACGCCATCTGCCGCCGTATAGCCGAAACGAATCTCAAAGGAACTCGCATCGTTGGGAAAGAAGTACAACGCCATCTATTGTCAGATAGTGGTAACACACATCGAAGCTACTCGACTTGCCCAGAATGTTCTCGATAAATCTAGGGGTGTCATCTCGACTATAAAAGCGTTGAAGAGATGACACGCAGTCAGTTAGTAATCGGAACTACTCGAAGAGAAACAGCGAACGGATCACCAGAAGCGAAGCGGAAAAAGTGAATTGAGAATTTTAACGTGTTTGTGAAGTGTTTTAAGTGTTCTAAGCGATAATACAGTAGGTTTAATTTCGGTAGATTTTTTTATTTATCCCGAATTCCGGCGCGTAGCAATATAAAATAAACAAAGAAACTAGTTGTAAATGTATAATGCGTACATCTTGTAACGAAATATTTTGAAAACAAAAGCATTTTCTGAGGCGGTCGCGATAAGAACCTTTGTTACGGGTTCGCTGTAACAAGGTAATAAGGTATATTGTAATCTTAGCGGAGATTGTTAACGAGGCCTCCCCTCTCGCCCCTAAATAAGCAATATCTTAGAGCCTAGCTGATTTTCGTGTCGCCTCGAACAATATACCGGGTCTATAGACACTTAATTATATTTTTTAATTATATTTATATTTTAATTACAGTTCTTAGTGAATTTCCATAATCTATCTATCTATCTATCTTCTATATATATAAAAATGAATTGCTGCTCGTTAGTCTCACTAAAACTCGAGAACGGCTGGAACGATTTGGATAATTTTGGTCTTGAATTATTTGTGGAAGTCCAGAGAAGGTTTAAAAGGTAGATAAATATGAAAATGCTCGGAATTAAATAAAAATAACAATTTTGTTTTTCCTTTGATGTGTCCTCCGTCGGACGGATTCCTTTTGTTTGTTTTATGTTTATTTTATACAAAAGCTTAGGTCTTTTATGTATCGATTGAGGCATTACGAAGTCTCAGTAGTCATAAATAATAGCCGGATCAGCTAGTAATAAATAAATATTTAATCCAGAGGCAGGAAAAGATACTTGTAATTTTAATATCAAATTTGCTTTATTAAGTTTACTTCAAGTGTAATTAGGTCGCAATTACACTTGAAGATGACGGCAGACGTGCTTCGCTCCCCGGAATGCGTTGGCTTTAATTGAATTACACTACAATTAAAAAAAATTTAAATCGTAGAGTAGTTTTCAAGTAAGACATTTTGTTATGTTACATATTTTTAATATATTATAAAGCTGAAGAGTTTGTTTTTTGTTTGTTTGTTTGAACGCGCTAATCTCGGGAACGACTGGTCCGATTTGAATATTGAATATTGAATTGAATATTGAATTGAATTGAATATTGAATATTGAAATTCTTTCAGGGTTAGATAGCCCATTTATCGGGAAAGACTTAAAGGCTATTTAACATCACGCTAAGACCAATACAAACGGAGCACCAATAAATAATGTTTCAAAATCGGGTTTTTTTTCCTTTTGAGAGCTTCCGCTGCGTGCGCTGCGGAAACGGTTAAAGTTTCGCTAAAATAATGTATGAGAGAATTGTTCCGCTTTAAAAGATCTAAAAAAAAGTCCGCGACAGCATATGGCTATAAAAGGTTGGCTCACTGTAACGTTTTTTTTTTTTTTTTTTTTTTTTTTTTTTTTTTTTTTTTTTTTTTTTTNGGTTCTGACCCCGGACGGAGATCGGACGTCGGGTGTAAGAGTGCAGGGGAGTCGTTTAGTGGGTGGGCCCTAAAATCCTTGGGCCCGCGATCTGCTCTCAACACCTGCAGATCGTTGAGTCTCACATACCCCGCGCGCCCCCTAGGCGCGGGGACCTCGTAGGAGGTTCGGCCCCCGGCCCGAAAAAAAAAAAAAAAAAAAAAAAAACTGTAACGTTTTTTATGCTAACCAAATTTGTTCTAAAATAAAGCATTATTTGTAAAGGTCTTTTTATAAAGATTATATTAATCCCTATCCAAATAAATACGTTATTCATTACAACATTGAATCATCCAAATCAGTTCAAGATAGGCTTAAACAATTATATGTTTTTCTGGATTTCTCCAAGATCCCGTCTTCAGATCTTGATGATTACAGGACTATTCGGGAAGACTACTCTTTCGAACAAAAAAAAAAGAAAAAATAATTATCAGAATCGGTTCAAGAATTCTCGAGAAATCGGTGAACATACATAGATAAAAAATTATGGTCGAATTGATAACTTTCCTCTTTTGAAGTCGGTTAAAAAGCATGATTTTGGTACCTTAAAGAGCTCCTTAACATTCTATTATTCAAAAATATTTTCACTTTCTACGTAAATGAAGAGACGGGTAAAATTTAGTGTTATGCCAAAGTAACTATTCTACGCGGACGAAGTCGCGGGTAAAAACTAGTGTTACATATACTAGTTATATTATCAAACATATTTCTTCTCTAGGGCATACAAATCGCTTAGCTAGTTTGAGAAACTAAAATTCTGCCATTATACCGACGTCCGTTCTGTCTAGGGTTGACACATTGACGCTATACACGAATTATTGTTGTTACCGCGCTAAGTGAGAAAATTTCAGTACTTTGTTTTTTTATTGCTTAGATGGGTGGACGAGCTCACAGCCCACCTGGTGTTAAGTGGTTACTGGAGCCCATAGACATCTACAACGTAAATGCGCCACACACCTTGAGATATAGTTCTAAGGTCTCAGTATTGTCACAACGGCTGCCCCACCCTTCAAACCGAAACGCATTACTGCTTCACGGCAGAAATAGGCGGGGCGGTGGTACCTACCCGTGCGGACTCACAAGAGGTCCTACCACCAGTAATTACGCAAATTATAATTTTGCGGGTTTGATTTTTATTACAAATCTCTATTGACATAATAATATAATGCATGCTGTGATTGCCTCTAATTACAGTTGCAGTTATCAATTGCTCTATACATGTCAATGTTATTTTACGTCTTACTGTAAACCCTGTCGGTAATCCTTAAATAAATAAAGAAATAAACTGTGAAATTTTTAGTACTTTGTTTTTTTATTGCTTAGATGGGTGGACGAGCTCACAGCCCACCTGGTGTTAAGTGGTTACTGGAGCCCATAGACATCTACAACGTAAATGCGCCACACACCTTGAGATATAGTTCTAAGGTCTCAGTATTGTCACAACGGCTGCCCCACCCTTCAAACCGAAACGCATTACTGCTTCACGGCAGAAATAGGCGGGGCGGTGGTACCTACCCGTGCGGACTCACAAGAGGTCCTACCACCAGTAATTACGCAAATTATAATTTTGCGGGTTTGATTTTTATTACAAATCTCTATTGACATAATAATATAATGCATGCTGTGATTGCCTCTAATTACAGTTGCAGTTATCAATTGCTCTATACATGTCAATGTTATTTTACGTCTTACTGTAAACCCTGTCGGTAATCCTTAAATAAATAAAGAAATAAACTGTGAAATTTTTAGTACTTTGTTTTTTTATTGCTTAGATGGGTGGACGAGCTCACGGCCCACCTGATGTTAAGCGGTTACCGGAGCCCATAGATATCTACAACGTAAATGCTGCCTCCCACCTTGAGACATGAGTAATGTCGCACTTTTAACAGTACAGTATAGCGGCCCGCGTTTGTACGCGCGGTTTTCGCTCAAGAACCCGTCTGTTTCAATCTCCAATCAACTACCACCGAGATGCTTGAATGTTTGCGAATTCACGAATCACAATCTCCTAGGACTAAAGAACTTCTCACCATAGATATAGCGACGGAACACCAGGACTATCTGAAGCCTGCCTACCCTAGACTAGACCTAGACACCCCGTATACTCTCAAAACACATAGCCAGATCATAGAACCCAGTTGCTCTTCATCACAGAAGAGGCCGGGTGGTTACCCTAACATCACACCGACCAAATCGACATTCCATGGTTCGGGGGCACAATAATTTATTGCCATACCCAAACTCGCGCGCGAAATTTATTACTAGAATTTCACTTGGAAAACCTAGCGTTTTAGTTGGAAACGGTTAAATCTTTTTCTCT